AATTTTGCCTCACATATATATGTATGCCTAAACAATTGTTTTGTGCTTTATGAAAAAAGCATTGTCATATGTAGTCTTGAGTTTGCTTTTTCACTCATTCTGTTACTGTCCTTCATGTAGCCAATGTTCATTCATTTTGTCTGCCCTGTAACAGTCCATTGTTAGCGCTCAACACTCTACCCTCCCATTGAAGGGCTTTATAATAATGCGGGAACATTATTACATATGTGTTCTGGGGCACTTTGTGCAAGTACTTCTCTTGAGAGTCTATCTAAAAGTGGAGCTGCTGGACCACGGGTATATAAATGTTCAACTTTGAAATGAATGGTTTTTCAGAGTTTTGTTCCACATGCATTTCCAATTCTGTGGAGACCTGTTTTAGTCTTTTCCTCATTTTTTTGTTAGATTGTCTGTTTTCTTGCTTGTTGATTTCTAGAATTTCTGTATATGTTCTTGAAACTAATATGCTACTGGCCCTAGCTTTGCAAATATCTTCTCATAGTTTGTAGTTTGGCTTTAATATGTCTTTTGATGAACAAAACTTCTAAATTCACAACATACAATATAGCACAACTGTTATGATTAATGACCTTTTATGGTTTGTTTTGCTTCAAGTTTATTAAGTTATTCAAGTAAGCAGGATTAGAAAGATATTCACCTATATTTTTGAAATATAGTTCACCTACAATTTCAACTATAATTACTACATCAGAAATTCTAAAAGTTCAGGTCATTTAAACAGTTGTGTGTGTGTGTGTGTGTGTGTGTGTGTGAAAAGATCTTTGTATTTTCCCTTCCTTTGTCAGGCCCATTTAATAGATCAATCACTGATCTACCAGACCCACACATGCAGGTACATTTTGTGAAATTTACATGTACTTGTGGGTCATCTGCTTTGGGGCTATTCTGCTCCACTGGCCACTATGTCCATTGTCCACACTAATGTCACACACTCTTGAATATTTCAGCCTCATAAAAAGTCCTTCTGGTGGGGTAAGTTCTTCCCTTTTCTTCACAAGTGCCCTCGTCATTCTTCATCCTTGACTCTGTCACAAACATTTCAAATCAGCTTGTCAATTCCAGGAGAATGTTGGGATTTAGTTTGAAGATGCATTGAATCTATGTATCAGTTTGGGAGAAAACTGACATTTTTTGGATATTGTTTTTCTACGCAAACATAAAAACAACTTTAGTCCTCTTTAATGCCTTTTTGTCAAGTTTTACAGCTTTCTATGTACCAATCTGGCACATATTTGGTCAGATTTGTTGCTATGCATTTAAGAATTGTTTTTGCAATTGTTTGGTGTCTTTTAAAACATTCTGCTTTCTAACTGTGGCTGGTGTATATAGCTACAATTCACAATTATATAGTGATCCTATATTTAGCCACCTAACTCTGCAGTTGTGTCTAGTGTTTTGATGAAAGACTTCTTGGAGGTGGGGCAGTTTCCTGTGTAGACAATCACATTATCTGCAAATGAGTTTTACTTCCTCCTTCCCAATAATACCTTATTTTCCTCATCTTACTGCAATGACTAACATTTCTAGTACAATGTAGAATAAAAGTGAAAACAGCAATCATCCTTGTCTCACTTCTTTAAAGAGAATGCTTTTCATGTGTCCCCCATTAAAATGGTGTTTATTTCAGGATTTTTTAAGATAGCCTTTGCCAAGTTGAAAAGTACCCTTTCACTTACAAACAGCCAAAGGTTATCATTAATGGGTGTTTTTATTAAATTTTTTTTGCACCTACTGATCAATTGATTTTTCACTCTTATTCTGTAAATGTGTAAGATTTATAAATTTTCTAATATACCATCTTTGCCTTCCTCAGTTAAATACCACTTGGTCAGTGTAACTTGGTATGTTACATTGTTTACTTTGCATGCATAGTCATGACCATAATGGGCCTATAATTTTCCTTTCTTGATTGTCCATATGTGGTTTTACTACCATGTATATACTGGTTTTGTTGTATGAGACATATAATTTCTAGGAGAATATGTGAAACTAGAATAACCCATTCTGTTTGGTAAAACCATCTATCCCTAGAGTTTTCTTTATGGTTAGATTTCTATTTCCATACCTTTATATTAATACTATTTAACCCTGCTTACTTAGGCTTCTGATTTCTTATCAAAATATAACATTTTCTAGAAATTTCTCCATTCTGCCTAAACTTTAAAACCTATCAGCATGTTGTTCATAATATTTGCCTGTTTTAACACCTGCAGTTTATATAGTGCCTACCCTTTTCCCTGCCCGATGTGGGTTATTTGTGCAGTTTCTCTTTTCTCCATGATAAACCTGCCCCAAATTTTTGTGTACTTTGTTAATCTTTTCAAAGTTGTCTCACAGCTTCGTTGACCCTCTATTGCAATCATTTTCTCAGCTTCTGCTCATCTCCTTTATCTTGTTCTTTTATAACTTCTTCAACAGAACACTTAACTCATTTTTAAAATGTAAATAAAGATTTAAGACTATAAAGTTTCCCTTGAACCATTATTTACTCTGTACCCTATATTGTGATATTCACTATTAGTCAGCCCTTAGCATTTTAAAATTTATTTCTATTTCCAACATTTATTACTACTATCTTCTTAAGTCTCCTTGGTGAACTCACCATCTCTACCTCTAATAATACCTTTGTCTTGTGTACTTTGTCTGGTAATAGTATAACCACACAAGCTTTCTTTTGTTATTTTCCTGGTAACTAGTTTTTTCAATTACGGTATATATTCAACATATTTTAGTTCCAGGTGTATGGCATAGTGGGTACACATTTACATAATTTCGAAGCGATCCCCCAGAAGTCTAGTACCCACCTGACACACAGTTATCACAGTATTGTCAACGATATTCCCTGTGCTGCATTTTACTGTTTTGTCTCCCCGTGACTATTTTATAACTACCACTTTGTACTTCTTAATCCCTTCACCTTTTTATCCTCCTGATATTTTTCTATTCTTTTTAAACATTTTCATGTCATTATGCCTTGTCTATAAATATACCTTAACCCAATTTGACTATCTTCTCACTGGTGAGTTTATCTCACCATCTTAAAGTACTTTAAAAAATGTTTTTAAACAGCTCTGAGATATAATCCACATACCATAGAAATCCCCTTTTAAGGTGTACAATTCAGTGGTTAAATCATCTTTTTATTTCTGTGTCACACTATTTTTCTTTTCTGTCTTTTTCCTTCTGACAAGAACTTGATCTTCATGTTCTCTGGTCCCCTACTACTCCCATGTGTTGAAATTATAAAGTTATTGATATGCTTTACTTTCTTTAGTCCTACATTTATTCTTTTCAAAGTTATCAACAAACTTCCCCTAAGTATCTGATTACTCTTCTTCTCAAATCTCTTGTAGCATCTCCTGAATTCATTTATCTTTATATTTAAGTGCTTTCTCCAAAGGTGCTTTTAATTTCCACCTTTGTTGGAAAATCTTCTGAAGCTTTGAATGTCTGAGAACATTTTTATTGTGCCCTTCCATTAAAATAACTATTTACCAGGACATAAAATTCTAGGTTCAAAGTTCTTTTCGTGTTCAATTTCAGATTCTTGACCTGAGTATGGTAATCACTGTTTCTACCGTATCATTCTCAAATGTCCTTTTGTCAGTGGACTCCCATCCATCCTGGTAACCGAGTCTTGTATAGGTTAAGGCTGACTGAGCCTTTGAGACAGGACTGAACACAATGCCATCTTCAGAAAACCTGCTCTCTCATTCACTGCTGCTGTGAATATCAATTGGTTCATCTCTTCTGGAGGGCAACTGGGCAATAGAAATCAAAAGTTTTAAAATACACATACACCTTGTTTGACCCAACACTTTTACTGCTAGGCATCTACATGAAGGAAATAACCCAACAATGTTCAAAGTATATACATAAAGATACTCATCATCACAAAAGTATGATGTGAAAAAAAATTTAAACAACTTACTCTCCAAACAAAATTAAATTATATTAACATCCTGCCCTGCCTGGTGTGGCTCAGTTGGTTGGAGCACTGCCCTGTAAACCGAAAGGTCATGGGTCTGATTCACGGTCAGGACACAGGCCTAGGGTGCGCGTTTGGTCGTCAGTGGGGGCATATACAAGAGTCAAACAATTGATGTTTCCCTCTCAAATCCCTGCTTCTCTCCCTTTCTCCCTCCCTCACATCCCCTCTTTCTAGAATCAATAAGCATGTCATCAAGTGATAAAAAATTATCCCATAATCAAAACCTTAGAGTGATCAAGATGTGTAGAAAAATACTTAAATTTTTAAAGTAAGAAAGTCTGCTTTTAGTTTCAGAATTATGTATGAAACATCTGAAAGCTGAAAGGCTATTATTCTTTAAAAATATTAACAGTAGCTTTCTTCAGATGGAGACATTCATTTGTCATTTCTTCCTTGTCCTTTTCTATACTTAACAACATTTCTACCATGAAACACTTTGCTTTTATAACTAATTTTAATAAACAGTTTCTCCACATGATGTCAGTTTTACAATTTGGAACTTACGGATTGGTCCATATACCAATCTGTGGTCCATGTACGCTCTGCATGTACCATTCTTTCACCCACACTCCTTCGAAGCTCCTTGAGATACATCAAATTCCTTATTTATCTTTATATTCTTTCAATGCCTATTACAGTGCTCAACATATATAAAGTATGAATATATTACATCAGGATGTTCAAGAATGCATTTCTGGGATAAAATGTGACTATCCTCTATCTAACTAATTACCAAATAAAGGGATTCTTTAAATTATAAAGAACAGAATGATTAAAACAGTAACTTTCAGACTTTTAAACAGCAGAATTCTCCTTAAATAAAAGTTTTTTTTTAAATCCCAATATATAAAATGGACATTCTAGTGGAGAGACAGAGGCTGACCCTATCCACTCAGCTTTCTTCCTTGCCTCCCACAGGCTGCTGATGTAATACATTCAGCTGACCCCATGTGCTACGTCAGAGCTAGAAGAGAAAAGCAAAAACACATTCGATCTAATATTTATTTATTTAGCTTTTCTTTTTGCAACTATAAATTACAATCACTAGTACACCTGTAGTTTTTTCTAGTGTTCAACTAAAGAATAAGCAAAAACAGCATAGGTCAGTTTAAAAGAAATCACAGTACTTCTTGGTGTAAATTGCAAAAGAGGGAGGAAGTCTTGGGCCCAGACCTTGGAAATAAATATCAAGTAACCATAAAAATATTCAGCCATCTTCCAGGTTTTCAAGGAGGTTCGTGCATGGTCCCAGCCAGAGGGTCAGAGCTCCTCTTTGAAATATCCCAGCTTTGCCAGTGACATCTCTTTTCTCAGCTGCATAACTTCCCAAAACATGTGATCAACTGTACAAACAGGAAAGAGAGAAACATAAATTATAAAATACCATCTGAATTATTTTTACCATGTTTCAGTGATAATCTAAGATTACCTGGAAAGCCATTTGGCATTTCCTAATGACATACCCAAAGCCTAGACATTCTACTGCTATTTCACACACACTTTTTCATGTACTTGTGAGTATCCCAGTTTTAAATAAGCAGTAGTCACCATTCTGCCACAGTTATTTGTTAGATACATCAGTGACCACCACATTAGCCCAACAGAAGGGAGACGTTTCTGTGTCCTGAGTAAAGAGCAATGCTGCTGCCTTTGTAAGCAATTACACTCAACGCTCAATTATGCACAAGTTGTTATCTAGCTTCTACATCTTCTTGCTCTAGTTACTACATCTTGGCCATTGCACTTTTCATTAATAATTACAAAGAGTGAAAAGGAAAACAAGAGACAGTCCAGAGAACTCAGTAACATTTTTGTGCCTAATAGGGAAAGTTTTATATATAGTTCAAATTAGAAATAAAAACAAATGTAGAGGATGACCTGTAAATTTCCATTTCTCTACATTTGTAAGCCCCCTCTGTGAGTACAAAAGAGATGTCTCTACAGACTTCCAGTCAAGATGGCAGCGTAGGCAGACAAGGCATGCCTCTGCCCACAACCTCAACAAAATCACAACTAAAATATAGAACCACCATCACTCAGAGCCGTCAGAAATCAAGCTGAATGGGAGTCATCTGACAACTATGGAATTAAAGAAATCACATCCATCCAGACTAGTAGAAGAACTGCAGATGCAGAATAGGCCAGTCCCACATCCACGTGCGGCTGATAAAAATTCAGGAAGGATATCTCAGGAGAGAGGAGTCCCTACCCCATACCAGGACCCCCAGACCAGGGTTCCAGCACTAGGAAGATAAATCCCCACAACTTCTGGCTGCAAAAACCAGTGGGGATTGCGTCGGTAGAGGAAACTTCTGGAGCCCCAAGCAGTGCTTCTTAAAGAACCTACACACAGACTCACCTACTCAGACTTACTCCCTCTGGACTTCAGCACCAGGGTAGCAGCTTGAAAGGCACCAGTGGCATATAGGGAAGAACTGAAGTGTCTGGCATCAAGGCAAGGAGAGGCCATTGTCCCTTCTCTAAACCCTCCCCGCACAGAGACACAGAGCCTGTAGGATGGTGCCATATCTGGGTCTCCATCAACCTGGCTAACACTGTTTGACCCACCCTGGAGATCTCTAGAGACTCTGTCTCACCCAACTTATAGGCCCATCCAAGGTGATTTTCCATACCAACGGCTGGTCTTGGCTCATGCTGCACAACTTCTGAAATCCTATCAAACAAGCAACAGCTGGACTCAGTGAGCTCCAGGCCTGGCACTAGTGGCAGCCAGCCTAGATTCACAGCTTGCCTTTGCCTGGGCATCTCCAAACCCAGCACAAGCAGCAGCCATCTCAGACTGCTTTACGGCTCAGGCAGGGTGGCCCCGAAAAAACACAGGTCATGGCTGACCATAGTCTGCACCACCCGGTAAACCCCAGGGCCAGCATACCCAGTGGACTGTTACAGACCACATCAGAGCACCACCACCCTACTCCTGCACAGGTGATATTCCATGTAGGGTGGAGGCTGGTGGTCAGTAATCACAGCCAGTCCTTGCAGCTCACTGGCCTGGGTAAATCCCTCCCGTTGATCTGCCAACAGCAACCAAGGCTCAACTACAGGAGGAGGGTGTACTCAGCCCACACGAAGAGGACACCTTGAGTACACAGCTTAGGTGACAGGGGAGGCTGTGCCATTGGACCCTACAGGACACCTACTACATTAGGCCACACTACCAAGACATGGACTCAAAGCAGCTCTACCTAATACATAGAAACAAACATAGGCAGGCTGTCAAAACAAGAAGACAAAGAAACGTGGCTCAAATGAAATAGCAGGTCAAAACCCCATAAAAGAGCTAAGAAATGGAGATAAGCAATCTGTCAGATGCAGAGTTCAAAACACTGGTTACAGGGATGCTCAAGGAACTTAGTGAGGACCTCAACAGCATAAAAAAGACCCAGTGAGAAATGAACAATACACTAATTGAAATAAAGAACAATTTACAGGGAAGCAATGGTAGAGTGGGTGAAGCCAAGAATCAAATCAATGATTTGGAACATAAGGAACAAAAAACCAAACAAACAAAAACAAAAAAAACAACCAATCAGAATAGGAAGAAAAAGGAATCCCCCCCGCAAAAATGAAGATAATGTAAGCAGCCTGGTGGGACAACTTTAAGCACTCTAACATTCACTTCATAGGGGTGCCAGAAGAAGAAGAGAAAGAGCAAGAAATTGGAAATCTATTTCAGAAAATAATGAAAGAAAAATTCCCTAAATTGGTGAAGGACATAGACATGCAAGTCCAGGAAGCTCAGAGAGTCCCAAACGAGGTGGATGGAAAGAGGCCCACACCAAGACACATCATAATTAAAATGCCAAAGGTTAAAGATAAAGAGAGAAGCTTGAAAGCAGCGAGAGAAAAGGAGTTAGTTACTTAGAGGGGAGTTCTTATAAGACTGTCAGCTGATTTCTCAAAAGAAACTTTGCAGGCTAGCAGGGATTGGCAAGAAATATTCAAAGTGATGAAAAGCAGGGACCTACAGCCAAAACTGCTCACCCACCAAAGCTATAATTTAGAATCGAAGGGCAGATAAAGAGCTTCCCAGACAAGAAAAATCTAAAGGCCTTCATTATCACCAAGCCATTATTATATGAAATGTTGAAGGGATTTATTTAAGAAAATGAAGATGATCAAAACTATGAACAATAATGTGGCAAAAATACATTTGGAAAACCAAATGAATCTGAAAAACAAAATAAGCAAACAAGAACTGAGACAGAATCATGGATACAGAGAGCATCTTGATGGCTGCCAGATGTGAGAGGAATGTGTAGAATTGGGTGAGGGGATTAAGAAGTAGAAATAGGTAGTTACAGAATAGCCATGGGGATGTAAAGTACAGTACAGGAAATGAAGTAGTCAAATAACTTATAGGCATGACCCATGGACATGAACAACGGTGGGGAGATTGCCTGAGTGAAGGGTGGTAAAGGCGGGGGGAATCAGGACAACTCTAATAGCATAATCAGTAAAATATAATTTAAAACATTACAAAAAGAGATGGCTCTATATTTCAGACAATAAAATGTCTTCATCTGACATAGGATCAGATTTAGTTCTTGACCAGGAGAGATTTTGTCCAGGGGCTCACTGGAAATTTCTGGAGACATTTTTCATCCCTGGGATCTAGTGAGTGACGCCCAGGGATACTGTTAAACATCCTACAATGTAAAAGACAGTCCCCCACAAGAAGGTATATCCAGCTTAAAATGTTAAACAGTACAAAGGTTGAGAAACCTTGCTTTCAGTTTAGCTGCCCTGAATTCTTTTGGGCACAAGCACAGAGAATAAACAGAAAAAGTCACAGAGATTTTCTTATAAATAATATTTATTTACTACAAACCCACACAGTATATGATGTGCATCTAATACTGTCAAGTGAAAGAGTGATGGAAACCAGAGAACAAATTACTTTTATCATCAACACCTGACCATCAGTCATGACTCTTTCTATTTACATAAAGTAAATTATCTCTCAGCCTTCTTTCCCTACAAAAACATCATTCTAATAAGGAGAAAAAAATATGCGTGTCACTTTAACATAACAAAAATCATCTGTCCTCCAGCTTAAATCATATTATCCACCAACAGGATTCAAAAAGACTTCAATTTTATTAGAGTCATAGAAAGCATTGTGCAGTTTAAAGAAAGACTATGTTTATGCTACACAACTTCTGAAATTCAACATTAATTAGCAACAGGTTTCACCTTCATTCTTCTACCTGTGTTCACTCTACCGGAGCCCGAGAAATGTTAAACTAAGTTTTTATGGGCATGACTAACTTTTCCACAGAATTAAGATTCACTGCTTTATCTGACTGAAAGACACAAGGCTTCTATTAGTTTTTAAGTATAAGAATAAAAAAAAAGAACATTTTCAGTGTCTCAAAAAATGTATGAACAGGAAAACTCCCCACAACTTCAAACACAAAACCGGCACGGACCTGCCCCTGCCCAGCGTCTGTCACTTCTGTTCCGAAACAGCCACCTGCGCTCCAGCAGCACTGCCCTGGTGCACGCAGCCACACCTGCTTTGTGCCCGGGACCGAGACACTCGGCTACGGCAACACCCGCGTGAGGGTGGTTCTCCTGCACATGCCACCTGCGTGTGTCTGCTGATTTACAACACAGCAACCTTCACTCCACGCAGGATTATACCATGTCACGGCTGCTCACTGACTCTCACGTGAAGGTAGAAAATACAGAAAAGCATTGTTAGCTCCTGTGGTTTTCACCAAGTGGAATAAATCCGACCGTGTCTACAGCTTACTCATTTTTATCTCCTCAGGAGTAAATTCAACGAGCTCTGTTCTCACTGCACACTTATCATCTGGTTTATCGTATACCTCTTAAGAGTTAAAGCTGATTCTGCTTAAAACTCAGAATCACAGTAAAATGAGGCAAGTATGAAGATTAAACACAATGTTTTAAAAGAGATATTTGCTTCCAAATTCTGCACACATTTTATTAGAACTATAAAAGGGACTCGATATAACTAGACCAACAATAAAGTTTATTTAAGCATCACTGAACTTTTACGCAGATGTGTTATGAGGCACTGAGAACACTCACCATCCTGCTGTTTCACAAGTCCCTGCTGAATGTAGCGAATGTACGTAAAAAAGTTACACACAGATGTGATCTAGGGCGGAAGGAGAAAATGTCATCAGTAATTACATGTCTTATGTAACAATAAACTTTATTAAAATCCGTGATTAAGTTACTTACCCTGTATCTACAAAAAGGAGAAATATAATAATAATTGCTTGAGTCTCCTAATTTAATTCTGTGTTTACAGGACTTACTCTGGCCAGTGAGAGCACATTTTCTGCAAAATAATGATAAATTTCAGTTTTTTTAAATTAAAGGCATTTTTCTCTACCTTCTGTACAAGCTGAAGACAACCAGTATTTGAGACCCTGCTCTGTGCCAGGCCGCTGCTCTAGATGCTGGGCTACCATGATGGAAAAGACAGAGTCCCTCCCTTTTTGGGGTTACCAGTCTAACGTGAGCTTAACAGCATAACCTTAAATGTGGTTCTAGAAATAGAAACTAAGTGTTTTAAATACACATCCTGTCCTGGAGCAAATACACCCATGAGTGATCTGGTACAGGAAAGCTCCTCGGCTTTCCAGGACTTCGACTCCTTCCTGGGTCGGAGAAAGCCTAATGGTGATTATCGAGTCTCAAAACATGTTACCAACAGCTTTCAGGCTAGTAGTTTCCAGATAAGGTACTTTTTTGGTGTGGTCGGTTGGTTTACACGCATTTAATGTGGTACCTAGGCCTGAGAAATACAAAGGAATAAGCCACCTTACAAAAATACCAAATCTTAACAGTTATAGAAAGGGTAGACTACATTTCAATATACCATCCTTTCTATTTACATACTATAAAAATCTAAAATTTGGTATAAGGGCCTTCTGGTTGGAATTAGGCTATAAGCCTCTTGAGAACAGGGACTGGGCTGTATTCACCTTAAATGTCTGGCACCAAGCGTGTTCCTGGTTGTCGGTGCACAGAGACTACCTGTCACTCACTCTACCGCTCAGGACGAAGCTGGCTTGTGTACCAGGCTGGGCTTGCAGCAGCCCAGCTGCTACCCGGGGCAGTCAGGAGCCTGGCTGAATACAACTACCACTCCTGATCAATGCAAAATTACTGCAATTCTAAGTAAAATAAAGTGGCCAATAGCGTTTTATATGACATCACAAATTAAATAATTTAAAAAATTAAATGAACATTAAATTCCCACTAACAAGAAATGACACAATTATGCCTCCATATTAAGAAAACACAGAAAATGTGTATTTAACACAGGATAATTTTGGAGATGGCCATTCTAATCACAAAATAATTTTTGTCTTTTCAAAGAAATTTTGCTTCATTGTTTCTTTATTAGCGAATTCCTTTAATGATCTATAACAGTATTTTTCAAACACACTAAACTACTAGCTCAGGAAAGATAGATCAAGAAATTTAGAGAACAAGTGTTGGAAGTCTTTAGAATTTCCAAAAGTATAATTTTATACAAGAAAAAAATAGGACCATCAAACTGATAAAAATCCATTTATACACTATCCTTCTAGAAACAGATCATACCTGTTTGTCTACTATTTTGCCTAATTTTGAAAGGATCTGCTAAAGTGATTTTAAGTATCAATTTTTTAAATAAAAAGTATTGAAGTTCTCTCATTTTTAAAGCCATCTGAAAACTGTCACCACCAACGTATTTCAGGTGAGCTAGGAGCTGATGCTGAGTCCTCTGACCTCCGATCCCACTGTTCTGTCTGCACTCCACACCACCTCCGAGTCTGCCGTCAGCTCCAGCACTGGTACCGAGCTTTCAAACCCTTGCTTGCCATTTTTACTTGGGACGTCAAAATGTATAAATCCAGACCTATCATCTTCCCAAAAGCAGAGCCCCTCCCATTAATTTCCAAATGCCACATCATTCTCCTATTCAGTCATCATTAACTTCTTTGTCTATGACCAGGCCTCCACTCAAACCTAATGGTCCCCTAAGTTTTCTTCAGATCCGTCCCATCTTCCCTCCACACACACTTGCCACCCTCTGAACGCACCGCGCTTCCTTGTTTCTAGGCTTTTGGTCATATCTGCTCTTTTTCTATCCAAACCCCACCCATGCTTCAAAACCCCAGGTCAAATTTGGTCCCCACCACTGGACTATCATCCTCAAAATTCCTGTAGCACTCCGCCATTCCTTAGAGATTATCTTCCTAACCTAGTCCACGGCAGCCTTGCCAGAGCCATGCTTCATTCCACATTTCGAAAAAGAGGACGACATCATCCTAAAGTGTATTTTCCACACAATATGCACTTAAAACAAAAACTGGGTTTCTGGCCCTCTTCCCACAAACACAATATCCTTAAACTATGTAAACTGTTCCCTGACCCTAGTCTATATAATTATTTTACTAAGATACTATACAAATCCACTTTAACTGATACTCATTTGTCGTCATATATTTGCACATGTCTATGTGATACATTATGCAAGCACGAATTTAAAATTTTACGATTAAAAACTACTATATGCTATATTTAAAATAAGGTATAACACAAATCTTAAAAGCATGAACACTGCTGGCATTAATGATCAGGATAAAAATACATGCATGTCTGTGGAGTAGAATGTAAGAATGTGAACACCTTGCCCAACCTCAGAGGCCACTGTGCTACAGGTGCTTCACTAGAGTGTAGACAGGACACAACTCTAGGTGGGGTATGTGGCCCACACAGCACACATGTGACTAGGCCCCTCCACAAATGATTACCCAAATAACAACACTATCTGATCCTACTGAGAACATAATTTGCATTAGCAGGGAAGGGGAAAGGTCAGACAACTCCCACAACAGGCTTTATAACATAGACCTTTAGTGACTCTCACTCAGCCTTTTCCTCTTCTGTCTTCAAACTGACCCAGACAAGAGTCACTTGCTGCCCTCTACGAGCTATCTTGGGCTTTCCAGCCCCCTATATTAATCTAGTTCTAAACCACCAAGTAAGCAGCTTCCTCAACATCTTTCCTAGTCCCTTTTTAACCAGCTGTGCCAAAGGCTTTAGGTACTCTTGATTTCAATCTTTCTTCCTCCTAGATCTGGATGGGAAAGAGCCTGCCCCGCTACGAGAATGCGGAAGTCTTACCTCTGAAGTTCACAACTGCCAAACATCTCTCACACACGAAGACAGAACCGATCATTTCCCCAAGTGAGAATCCTTTATTATGACAGTATGAAAGGAGAAGGCTACTTAAGTCTTTCACTACCTAAGTTTTTTTGGTACCTGTCTTCATGCTTGATAAGACTTGGTCTAAATCACTGTCTTCCCAACTAATTTTGCTGGTGACCCCTGGGAACAGACATTTTACACAGAAACTGAGGACGCACAATTATACATATATGTGTAACAAACAAAAATTCTGCTTAGGACCCACTGAAGTGACTATGACCAACCAATGGGTCACCACACGTGGTTCAAAGGAAGAGTCTCTAACTCCTGGACTGCCTGGATCCCTAACATGCACGGACGTTTCTGTAATTAAAAGGGCTCCCTTTTGACTCTAATTTGAAACACTACGTCCCACACTGTCTGGAGATTTGTGCCTGAGTGGCCTAGGCTCCATACAGAAAACCAACAGAAATTTAATGACATTTAAAACTGGGAAAACTAATTACAACACATAAACATTTAAAAACTCAGTATCTTCCACAAGACGTGGTTCTGAAAACGTACTTGGGTCCTCCACATTCGACTGCAGAAGCTTTCACGAACCGAACAGGCTGCAATCCCACTGGCTCAATGCTTAGAGTATTGTTTTCCACAGCCTCCAAAACAGCTGAAGCCAACTTAAAAAAAAAGTATTAGACACTGTGCTGGTAGAAAAATACCAAATTTGTATTCTACAGTGAACCAATTTTTAACATTCTTTCCCCGAGCTCCACTGGCTTGGCCTTAGCCAATGGGGGAAAAAAGAAACCATGTAATCTTGATTTGAATTCTTTTACGATTCAAACATTGTTAAGAAAGGCAATTCAGTTACAGCTAAATAACTTTTCTCATTACCTGGAAGAGAATTAAAGGCATTAATTCCAATCTCAGTTCAAGCTTACCCACAATTAACATACACTGTTAGTGCAACTTCAAAATAAGTATTTTAATGCCTTATTTTGTTAAATATATGCAATATGTTTAATACTGGTCATTCATAACAACAATATATACTATTTATAGCTATGTATTTTCTGAACTTCCATTTATGTGTACAAAAGAATGAACAGAATTATTAAATATTAAATGCCCAGATGGAGATGGTAGTAACTAATAAACAACAGATGAAATGGGCAGACTACTTCGGTCTGGCAAAATTACTAATACTGAATGGCCTGCCGAAAATCAGGCACAGAGCTACAGTGAATAACATATTACGTATCAAAAGTGTTTTACTGCTCATCTTAACTTCTCCTTACAAGTAATGTTATCATTAAACCCTCTAAAGACTTAGCAAAAGACTTTTAGGCTTAACTATCTTAAACCCTGATTGACAGGATATTTACAGAAAAACCTTCCACATGTAAGAGCAAATGAAGATCATGACCTTTTTACGTATCTATTTAATTCACCTCCTTTAACAACCCTATGACATAGGCAAGGAAGACCTTTCCCCTCATTTTCAAGATGAGGAAACTAAATATAAGTTTTTATTACGTACAGATACACCCAACAACACCTTAGAGCGTAGTATGGCCCTTGCACGGCGCCCCGGACTGAGCATCAAGAACACACCCCGCCCTCAACACAGAGTGAAGCCTGCGCTCCAGCGCAGTGCGCACTGCTGTGTGATTGGCCCTGCGCTCACAAAAAAAAGATGTTCAGTCCCCGAATGCCAAGAAATGATGATCCTCGTATGGAACAGGGGAAATGGTAAACATGACATTTTACAATAACTTATTTATGTAAGAGATATTAAAATATATAACATGATTTAGTAAAAGGTATAGAAGCAACTCTAAAGCATTTTTATTAAAAAAGTTTTGTAGTTACCTCACTTTTTGAGAATGTTAAACATGGAAATATATCTTCCTGATAGATTTTGTCTAAGAAAGGACATGTTCTGTCCATTGTGGGATCATCCTTCCAAGATCTGAATTCATTATACAGAGATAAGTCAGCCTGACAAACCAAAACAAAACAAAAAAAAACACAAAAATAACTTTTTAAAAAGTATGAATATAAAATTATAAACATTACTGAAAAAGAAATACTCTTCATTTAAAATAATAAACTGAACCATTCTTAATTAGTTGTAATACCTGGTGACAATTTTTCTTTTAAAAAATTCAAACTTCCAAATGATTCATCAGCCCTGTTCAATGTACCCACCACGGTATCTAATGATGCAACCCTCATCCCTCCCCAAAGTTAACGTGGCGTGCCTCTTAAGACACATGTGCACACTGTTCTGAATATAAAAAATGATGACAAGTCTTTAGTGAAAGTAATAAAAAATTAATTTGGACCTAAGTTAAATAAAGTATTTGAAAAAACTGAGACTGACTAAATTGTAAAACCAAAAGTTTGGGGTAAAAATGACACTAATTGTTCTATTATTACCTGAAGGCATTTTCAAAGGAATTTCCAAAATGTTTATTGTATAAGCAGCAAAACTTGAAAGAAGCACACATATAAGCCTCCTAAATTGATTATCTTAAAATATAATACTGATTTAGATATCTTTTGGCACATGAACACCCAGTAACCACCAACTGAATTATCAACAGTAATCCAGGCTGGCACCAGCCTTCTTATTCGCTCTGCCAGTTGTCCCTCTCTTTCCCTCGTCCCTTTTAACTAATTTAAGTGTTCTTCCCTACAGATGTCCTAGCCGAGCTCAGTGCCACCTGTCAACATACAAGGCTGCACTGTACGTACACCCAGACACCCAGAGTAATGTCCCTCATCCGCCTTCAGCTCTGAGGCCCTCTTATTCAGAAGCCCTGGGTACATTCTCAATGAGGCATTGACCACAGCTACGGCCTCTAGGATAGCTTAATCAAGTGTGCAGGTATTCTACATGAAAGTAACAAAAGGCTGAGTGTATCCAACCTTTCCTACAGACTTGCTTACAGAGAGAAAGTAAGTTGTCCAAGGCTACAGAGCAAGAAGCTCGTCCAGTTCAAATGCACACCTAAGTGACTGGATCTCAAAGCCTTGCAGAAGACCCGTGGGTGTGCATGCACTCTCGCATGTTTTAAATGTTGCAAATGTTATGGCTGAATGCCTGCACCACATTTTCTACAGAAATACGAATGTGTTTCATTTTCTTTTGGGTTATTATATCTTTTATTAAAACACACGTCAAATTTATGTCTTTCTTTTGTCTAATAAAACTTTTTGACACATTTTCCACAAAATAGAATACAGTATATAGCTGCAAAGCTGAAAGTTATTAAAGTTAAGTGCTGCCTATTCATATTTTAGGGGATTTCATTAACTAAAAGTGAACCTTTAAAATGTTCCAGGAGAAAACATTACAACTTTGTTAGTGTAAACAATAGGAAAAAAGGTACATAATTACACACACTGAGAAACCATCATGAAAATACAAGCTGTATCAAGCCATTAAAAATGTTAAATTCAAAGAAATGAAAATGACTAAAAAAGTTTCTTAAATATTTAACAGAACCAATGTAAATTTTGTATTTTGTCACATTCAGATCTGACCAAGTATTGAACTTCTCTCTTGCAGCATCTTTTATGGTAACTAAACAAGATGTAATTCAATTAAAACAGTAATGACCTTGGTTATTCAGTTTACTAAAGTCCTGGCCTCCATGTAAAAATTTAACTGAATGAGCACAGATGGCCTCTTAAAGATTAATGGACTTGACTTCGGCAATGTAAAATAGAGCTTTTAAGAAAAAACAAGGGAGGGCTGCTCCACAAATTACTGATTAATCCCCTTGGAAATGCATTCTCATCACATGCAATGATTAAGTAAAAAATATTTTACAATTATATAATTTTTACTCAAAATAGCTCTATATTATCTGTTATCATTGTAGTTTTTAAAATAATAAGTCTTCCATTAATTCTATTTTTTGTTGCTTAATTATCTAAATTAGCTCTAAGACTCCCTGTACGCTGACTCCTTTAACTCTCCTCCTCCCAGAATTTAAGCAACACACTGTTCTTCAAGGAATCACCTTATGTTCACACATTTGCTACACTCCCACTTTGTCAGAGCACCCGAGCAGTAATGTTAACTAGCAGGATCAGTAAAGCCACCCGCTCTCCTTTACACAAAACACGACAATTTGCTCCCTAAATGAAATAGCGAGATCAAGAAACTTACCAAGTTTCCAGGAGATACTCCAGGGTCAGTCAGGTAGAGAACGGAACTGAAGAATCCCTGAAAGCAGCCAGCTCTAGATTAAGCCTCCCCCATCTTAATATTGCTAAAAATTTTGCTGGCAAAAATCATAACTGACACCTCAGTGATGAGAATAAATAAGTATCAACAGAGTCAGAGGGGACAGTCCTTGAGGAGTTACCTCTTTGCAGTCTTTTACAATTGGCTGCATCACATTGAGCTCCTGATGACTGCCACTCATAGCACTGCTTGTACTTTTATTTCTGGTATGCCCCTTTCTAAAAGGGGTCTTTCCTCCTGGCAGAGGCTCTTGCGTAGGTGAGGTTGGAGAGCTGGACAATACAAGCGTCTTCAGTGCAGCTACTTCAGCCTGAAGTACATCAATCTTGAGAAGCAATCAACACCGTCACATATACTATATACAGTACTGACCAATGCAGCTAAAGGTGAGCAATTTTGTCAAAACACTTTCAAAGATAAAATATAAGTCTGATTTGTATTTTCTGTGGACTAATAAAAGCAAAGTAAAACTAACTTTTCTGATATTTCCACACAGTGGATTCAGCTGCTATTCACAATGTCTAGTGAAATTTAAAAATTATCAAACTGACTAACATTTTATTTATGTGAATTTTCAAAATCTCCCCAATATAAGAGATGATCATTAGATATAGTTTATTTCTAATATAGTAAACTCTAACATTTCAGTAGCTTTTTTAGTGAAGAGAATAAATATTAACTTTAAAATGTGATTATACAATCCTTTTGATAATACATGTGATTCACATGCCTTCAAATCATCTGGTTCTAATGTAAATGGACACCATATGTTCACTATTAATTTTATCTACATAGTAGCTATTTTCTCCTTTATAGTTTCCAAATCTTCTAAAGTAAGCACCATGTGTGCAATCAGAACAAAACCCACTGTTATGGTATCTTTAAGACAGTAATCACTGGGCAACAGGAAGAAGGTCAACCTGGCAGCCGCCACGGCGGGGCTCCTGGCAGTCCGATGGCTGCAAAGGGCAGCCCGGCCTGTGGTGCTGCTGAGTGACTGACCGCCTCCCACTTTACCAGGACGTGATCCAGGGTCCTATCCCAAATGCCAGAAGAGTGAGCTGCCGCAGCCAGGGAGCACAATATGTGGGTGGGAGTCTACGAGCAGCACGTGCATGATGGATGGCATAGGGTAAGGTGACTACCCAGCTCTGCGACCACTCACAGCACCAGAGGGATCCACGGGATGACTGGGACCACCCAGACCTCAGGGTTGAGCTGGGGTGGACCGATTCACTGGGACCTAGATGGACATCAGGAACAGCGTAGACACATCCACCACACCTGTTTCTTGGAATCTCATGTGTAAGCACCTCCTCAGCTTTGCAGCCTTCATGCTATTCATGTCATAGGTTGGGGAGACAACCCCTCCTATGTGCCTGTGGGGCTGAGGCAGTATGCTCACAGTAATCTGCACCTGGGAGGAGGCGGCGATCCCACCCAAGAACCTGCACAGGTGCTTCACTAGGAAATCTGGGGAGACCTCATGGGCTTTGTGCCCCATAACTGGCTTCCTCATTCTCAGAGATATAACCTTAATCTAACCCCTGATAAAACTTAGTGCTGTGGTTAAAAAATATATAGTATTCACTAATTTCTTACTTTGTAAGAAAACAAAGTAATTGTTTGTATACAATTAAAAACCGTAAAAACTTACTTTTCCTTGTGCTTCTTTCAGCTGCTTTTCTGCTGTCGCCTGCTTGACATTCGCTTCTCGCACCATCTTATGAGCTTCCTAGAAAAGTTAACATCTCAAAGTTTGGAAACAAAATATTTAGCACTTATTTTCAAAAATCTCTTAATAAGTGACTAAAGCAAAGATATACTACCAAAATTTAGCCTGAAAATAAGTATTCAGTGTCAACTACTGAAACTCCTGTCAGCAGGGAGATGACCTATCAGAAATTAGGAGCAGGCACTTTTTAGCACCGACAACCACTGAGGAGCCTCACAGGTGCCGTCGCTCCGACCGCGGTTGCAGGGAGGACTGCAAATGTGATGGAGGAAAATGCATGCTGCGTATGTTAAACCCAGCTTCTGTGTGATTAGGTTTTTATAATTTGATCACTATATAGACGTGTATATATGTCCACTATATATACATATAAACACACTCGTCTTAGTCACAGCACAGACATACAGACAGGACAAGTAACAGTGAAACGTCACAGTACTGCAGTTTACAGAAATGACAGCTGAGAAATCTTGGCTTTCAATTTTTTAAAAAAGAAGAGTCACAAATGATATGAAGTAATGATTTTCTACAGAGTAATCTAAAAAGATAAATCAGTTTACCTTTCAACAGAGTCTTAATTTTTTAGTACCACAAATATGAAACTCCAGGTATTAATTCTCTTTTATTCATATGATATTTATTCATCAAACATTTATTTGCACCATCCCTGCGAGGTGCTGTGCCAGGTGCTCACAATATATTAGGAAAAAAGACAAGGTCCCTGCTCTTAAGGAGCATATATCCTGACTACATTCCAGTTATTAAAATATCTGAGCAAGAATTCTGGATTTTATTCTAAGTGCAGTATGAAGTCTTACAGTTTTCTAAGAAAGAGAGGGATATGACTGAACTTGTATTTTAATTTTTATTTACTGATTTTAGAGAGAGAAAGAGAGAAGGGGAGGGGGAGACAGAAAGGGGGGCAGGAGCGAGACACAGAGAGAGAGAAGCATTGATTTGTTGTTCCACTTATTTATGCATTCATTGGTTGATTCTTGTATGTGCCCTGACCAGGGATCAGATGATACTCTAACCAACTGAGCTACCCAGCCAGGGCTGAACTTGTATTTTTGAAAAATTGCTCTGCTGTACATAACAGCCCCTATAAAAGGATTAAAGATAGACTGGAACAGTACATAGGGTGCTCGAGGTAATCCCCTGGGATGTAATAATATATACTTGGGAACTTCAATTTGCAGTTTATGAGAAAGAAGAAAGGGAGGAAGCAGGGAAGGAAGGAAGGAAACTAGCTTCAGAGATATCTAATAAATATCTTGACAGTGCCACCCTCACTAGGTCTGTCAACTGTTCAGTGGCAAAGCGGGAGAGTGGAAGTCCTGCACCTCCGAGTTAGACCGCGGCACTCCCATTTGTTCACTTGCTTTTACGGTACTGCAGGGAGCTGCAGTTTATATTGGGTTGGCCAGAAAGTCCATCACATTTTTTCCTTAGTGGCTCTAATAGAGCTTAGTTGTCTTTAACTTCATTCAAACCAATTTTGTTAGATTGTATTGTGAGAGCTGTCACATCAGTGTGCATGCATTTAAAAAAAAAAAAAAATTGAGCAACCATTTTAATACTGAAGATGGAAGACAATAACACAACATTTTTGGCGTATTACGCCTCGTTATTTCACCAAAGATAAAACTGCAATTGAAATGCAAAAAAAGATTTGTGCAGTGTATGGAGATGGTACTGTGGCTGATCAAACATATCATAAGTGATTTGTGAAGTTTCTTGGTACTATTAACATTTTGGCTGAATAATTCTTTGCTGTGGGGTTGTCTTATGCACTGGAAGATGTTTAGCAGCACCTCTGGCCTCTACCCACTGGAAGTCAATAAATTGCAGGAGAGAGCTGACACACTCGAAAGATCCAAATCAATAAAGTTGCTGGTAAAAATGAAAATTGTGTTTCTTATTTTATGGAAAAAGGGTAATGGACATTTTGGCCAACTCAGTATGTGCCCATGAATGTGAATGTACAGATTATGTTAGTTTAAATAAAAGAAGCTTTACTAGCAGTGGTTTATGATGAGAGGAGATGCACTGTGAAAATCTTCCATGAACAATTATGCTGGTTATTTTGTACCAAAGCCCATAGGACTATCAAATTTAATAATGAAGTAAGAGTTTTTCCTGTGAAAATAACAAATGTTTCAGATTTGTTGAATTTTTCTAAAATAATAAATAGCTGTTGATAGAACTATTTGGCAGATATTTTCAAAATAATAAACATATCTAATCTGACTCTTCGAGATAAGTGACATTTTAACTATAAGTGCACAGTAATTCAAGCTATGGAGAGAATAATTGTTTAAATGTTTAGAAATAGACTCTGCTTTCATTAATAGTGAACTATGCAACTTGGACCAAACCTCTCATGGGGAACAATGAAAAGAGCTGGACAATTTTTTTTAAATGTTTGAGGGCATTAGAGAGCAAATGAAATAGTGAAGGACTGGGGAACCACATCCAACAGAAGATGTAAACTCAGAAGAGTGAGCTGGGATTTGGGGAGATTTCTCCCTTTGAAGGACACAGTGAAAAGATACAACACACATGTGACTGGAGTCCCGGAAGGAAAGAAAAGAGAGCTAGAAGGAGGGAAAAGCAGTCTCTAAATAGAGTACAGGATTTTACACAATGACAAAACACATCAAAAGTAGGTACAAAAAACTAAAATTTTTCTATCAATCTATCATTCTAAAATGGGAAATGACAAAAGAATCATTCATATCAGGAGTCAGCAAACTTTTCCTCTAAGAGCCAGATAGTAAGTAGTTTTGCTTGGGAGCCATCCTCTGTTGCCGCTACTCAACTGCGCTGCTGCAGTGTGAAAGCAGACAATAATAAACGAATGAGTGTGGCCATTTCCATACAAATGTATGGGCACTAAAATCTGAATTTCATATAGTTTTCATATGTCACAAAATATTCTTCCAATTCCCCCCAATTATTTTAAAATGTAGAAACCAATCAGCTCAAGGCTGTACAAAAGTAGGTACAGACTAGCTTTACCCTGAAGGAAGTAGTCACACGTTTATACTGACAAACTCTGAAAACAGAATTTTAACCTAATTCTGCCAAAAGCACGAGTTATTCCTAATCTTCTGATTAATTTGCACAATTTCTTGGTATTACAGAAGACAGAAATTCAATACAAAATTTTCTGAAAAAAACCTTCACATAACTGACAACACAGCTGAAAATTTAATATAATGGTTTAAAACAAGGGAAGACACACTTCTCCTATCTGGATCCATATACTTGTGAGGTATCAGCAGCATTAAATCTAACCGAGAAAAACAACACTTAGACCAGACCTTCATCAAGATAAATTGTTAAAACAAGATTTTCAAAAACAAGGTAACATAGTCAATCAAACTCTTCTCATTGAATATAGGGGGGTGCAAAAGTAAGTTTACGTTGTATGCAAAACTGAGTTGATTCTTGTATTATTATTTATGATTGTGTTACTTTCCACACGAACAACTGTAAACCCACTTTGCCCACCCCTATAAGTTAATGTGCACACACACAACATGTTTTAGTGAGAAAATATTGTATACAAGTAAATTTTAATTATTTTTATTATTCTCATTCTTTATAAAATTATTGCTTTACAATTTAAGTAACATTGTTATGAATGTTAGCATATGCGTATAATTTATAAGTAAGTATATAAGCTCTTAGAACAGTGCCTAGCCCATAAGGAATCCTCAATAAATATAAGGTACCTTCATCATAACTAAGGTACACGCTCAAATTCTTCTTTTACTGATCAGGTACATGAACAAAATGTTTGGCATATACTGATCTAGGTAAGAAATGATGGTGGCGTGAAAGATGGTGTTAGCAACATCAAAATGGAAAGGTGGATGGATTGCTTTACGTGCTTGAGGTACGACCGTTCTGAGACCAAATGTGTGATGGAGAGAGGCCTCGATGACGACTCTCTTCAACGATGGCTTGAGTGGACGGAATCGCCACTTACGACTTTCACAGTACTCAAGGCAAGAGCTGAGGTCACGAATTTGCATCCCAGCAGCACTCCTTGGCCTACTATGCCTCGTTTTCTTCACACATAAAATAATAATAATTTACACTCTATGCCTCATAGCATTATGGAGAGAAAACCACACATATCATAAAAATTTACTAAAACTGGCTGACAATTTTTAAAAATCTTAGGATCACCTATCTTTTTCCCCATGTTAAATGTAGACTACTTTGTAAAGCACTCTTTCAACTGACTTAATTTTATAGTATTATCTCAAAATCTAAGATACTAGGAGAAAATATATATATATATATATAACTTTAGAGTTCTTCCATTTGACACTTTAAGAATCAACTTTGCTATATACAAAGTATAATTATATTCAAGATTATTCATCATACATAAAACTGCTAATTTAAATTTACATGTTAAATATACCAAAACTGTGCAAATTGAGTTTATTTAGAATAAGCTTTAATTCTTAAACCTACACATGTATATACATACATATAAAATACAAGCAGAAAATCTTTTCAAAAGACAATGGTAAACTGAGATCATGAAGCCACAATTAAGACCAGAGAAAAACTTTTAGCACTTTTTCTCAAAATTCATAAATAATTGGTTTGAATACAACTTTCTTCATTACTAAAATCATGTTAAATCAATGTAATTTCTTTCCCAGAAAGTCCATGTCAATTCTATCATCCATTGTTAGCTTAGGGATAGCTAAGGGACGCCAAAGCTATATTTTCTAGATATATTTTCCATAATTACAGAAACTGCATTTCTGGTACTTCACATCCCACTATAGAGAGGGAAAGGGTTCTTTCTGTTTGTTTTCCTTCAATTTCATGGAACAGAATATACATGTAAGTACAGAAGGGTGGAGTTAAGCAGGGCTAAAATTAAGGGCATGCAGGTAAGAAATCAAAAATAGCATAAGCAGTATAACAAATCTATCTACTTTCTTATCGAATACCAACACACCATTCAGAATTTTCTTCTAGCCAGACAACACTGGAAGAAAGTCTTATGTTTCTGTGTGCCCCGTGTACATATAAAAACACAACAAGACACACAGTCAGCCCTGTTCCAGACCTTTGATTTCCCCATCTCCTCCACCTTAAATTTCTCTTCCTCTCATTTCTGATGGCTAACTAAACAAAATATAAATTAGTTTTAAAATGTTCATGAAAGAAAATGACCCCCAAAAGGACAGGGAGACGGCAAGGTGTGGAGCAGAAGGTGCACAGAAAGCTCACGTCTGTAGAGTTCCATGCAATGCTACTCATAATTATAAAAACTGTAGAACATGCATTTCATAGATTATTCTATCATTACACTGACTATGCAGTAACATAGAAAGAGGTTTATTTGGAAAAAACCCATAAAATACAGTAGGATTACAACTATGTGAGCAAATATGCATACCCAACACTAAAATACATAGATGCTGCATAAATACAAAAAAAGGGTAAGGAATTTCCCCCCTAAAATCTTGCATTACATCAAAAGTGTTAAGAACAAATTTCTAAGAAAAAAAATACTGGTGAGTGATAATAACATTAGTCATTCTAGTAACACACGGATGTTTTTGATAAGGAACATTTCTGGGGGCTAACCTAAAGGAGGTACTCCGTGGCAGCAATTCTTAACAGCAAGGAAGTACTATCCTCTACCCATCCCTCATGAATATTTATAAGTTGTCAAAATGATCAGGGAGTATTTTTAGCACTGGGGGGGCGGGGCAAAGCCAAGTGTAACAGTTAATTTTGTGTCAACCTGACTGTGTCTGGATATTTGGTCAAACATTACCCTGGGTGTTTCTGGATGAGATGGACATTTACATCAGCAGGCTGAGTACTGCAGACTGCCCTCCAGGACATGAGTGGACCTCATCCAGTCAGCTGAGGGCCTGAACAGGACAAAAGGCTGACACACACAGAGTTGAGAGAATTCTTTCTACCTTCAGACTCAAACTGAAACATCAGCTCTTCCTGGCTCTTGAGCCTGTCAGCCTTAGAATTAGGATCACACCATCAGCTCCCCTAGTTCTCAAATCTCTGGACTTGGACTGGAACTATACAGTCAGTTCTTCTGGGTCTCACCCTGTAAAACTTGGGACTTACCAGTCTCTGTACTCATATAAGCCAATTCCTTATATGTCTTTTTTTGTATACATGTGTCAATGTATATACACACATCCTATTACTTCTTTTTCTTGGAGAACCCTGACTAATACACCAAGCACACGAAATATCCTACAACATCAACAGTACTCCTACTGAGGAACACTGTTTGAGTTGGGCAAAAATGTTGGCCCCAGTGGGAGGCCGCAGCTTAAAAAGGGTACCTTCCAGTAAGAAGATGTACCTTCTTAACCTCCTCACATCATCCCATACCAGATAGACACCAAGGGTTTGACATCTTTATTGTAGAAGTTGCATAAAGTTACTCTAAAGCAGTCCCTGAATACTCTGTAAAAACCAAGATTAAAATCTACCTCCTTTCTTTCCATATATGCATTTTAAATAACCTGATACCAGTTGCCCAGTCTTCTTTCCTTTTCACAACATTTTAAGTTGCAGACTCTACACTTCTTAAGGATTTTATTTTTTTCTTAGAGGACTTATAAATATGCATAAATCTAGGCATATTTTTCTCCAGGTTCCCTCAAAAAACAATTCTATCAATATATAAAAATCAAGACTTTGATTTTTTAAGATGTAAATAGACCAACCTCAAATAGACTAGCTGTGAGTTCCTCCAGTTCCTGTCCAAGTTGATCCCGCACTTTGGAAAGCCTCTCACACTCTTCATCTTTTAACTTTAGTTCCTGTAAGAAATCGATCATTTTACTCTGGGTTTCCATAGTTTGAAGTTAGATTCAGCAGAGTATATAATATTTACTAATAAAATTACAAAATATTAATACTGTTCCCTTCTACAATAGTCACAATGAAATGTTTATTTAGCACTGGCTATGTGGAAGACAATTGGGCAAAACTAAAATTACAAATAATTCTAACTCACATATTAAATTTTCATGTTTCTTTCATAAAACATCCAAAGATTAAGCATGATTATATATTACAAGTAAAAATAAACAATTAAATAATTTCATTATTTTCTGCCTTAACTGAGGATATTTATTTCCATCAAGCAAGCAATTTCTTCAATTATGTTTATTCGTTACAATTCATATTCAGTTCAACAGGTTGTTTCCCATGTTTACTTACAAATTTTTTTACTTATAGATAATTTTATGTACCATATCTCAATTAGTTTAAAATTCCCATTAGGCTGCATCATTTTAACACCACAACCAGAGGCAAATGGTGCATATTTAAAACCTAGAAGAATGTTAACAAAAATCACATCTTACATTTATACATGACTCCCAACAGAACACAAAAAGATGTTTAAAAAAACTCCTATATTAAGATGTTATAGTGTCAGATGAGTAGGAGATTTAGTGGGATGATTACTTAGTAAATTATGTAATGTCTAATCACTAGGGTGTACACCAAAACTAGTATTTGTATTTCAACTCTAATTGAAAAATAAAAAATGATTTAAATTAAATTTTTTTACTTTTTTTATTGTTCAATTACAGTTGATCACATTTTTTCCCCATTGCTCTCCCTTGCCCTCCCTCCTCACACTCAATCCTCCCCGGCTCCCCACCCCCATTGTCTTTGTCCATGGGTCCTTTATACATGTTCCCTGACTTGACCCTTCCCCTTCTATCCCGTTATCTCCCTGCCACCTCTCCTCTGGTCACTATCTGCTCTTTATTTCCATGTCTCTGGTTCTATTTTGCTCACTTGTTTTGTTGATTAGGTTCCACTTACAGGTGAGATCATATGGTATTTGTCTTTCACTGCCTGGCTCATTTCACTTAGCATAGTGCTCTCCAGTTCTACCCACGCTGCCACAAAGAGTAGGAGTTCCTTCTTTCTTTCTGCTGCGGTACAGTATCCCACTGTATAAATGTACCACTTTTTTGATCCACTCATTTACTGGTGGACACTAAAAATATGGACCACTTCACAAATTTGTGTGTCACCCTTGCACAAGGGCCACACTCATCTTCTCTATATCATTCCAATTTTAGTAAATGTGCTGCTGAAGTGAGCACTAAATTTAAAATTTTTAAAAAAGATGTTACAAATGCAATTGTATATGTCACTCTAAATTAATCTTTCAAACTTAAAGATGAAGAAGTTCAAGCTCCTGATATATTGGTCATAATTACACTAATAATGGGTTAGTTGCTTTATAACTGGGGGCAGCATAGTTTTTTAATCTACCAAGGACAGCTCCTGAAAGCTAAATATACCAACTGTGGTATCAGAAGAACCCAATGACTACTACGTCTTCAATAAAAACAGGTACAAGAGAATCCCCTCAAATCTTAGACCATGAGAGAATGTGGCTCCACTACCAACACCACACAATCAGCAGGTGTGTGGAAGGGAAGCAACAGAAGTAATGGGACCACAGAAGTACCCTGCAAAATCTCACAACCCAAATAATCATTATAAATAACTCAAAAGAAGAGGATTCTACCATTGGTGGAAACCGCAAAAACAAAACTGAAAACAAATGAAAAAAGGGAAAGGTTTTCCTAGGCTCCACGTTGTAGGTTAAGTGGAAAAATCTGTCCCAAGGTGGTAAACAGTACCATAAAGCTCGAACCTTTCAGAAGGTTCTCAAAGCAAAGACACCCTTTCAGCACACAGCTCCATGCTAAGGAAAAAACTCTTATAATCTGAAACTATACTGAAGAACAGGATCAAGGGAGATAGAAGTTTCAGGTATTAAAGAAAAAAGGTGAGGGCAAAGTTCCTAAGGAAACAGATTACAGAAAATACTATAAAAAATAAGTAGCTTATGATGTAATGTCACAGAGCTCACAGAGACACTGGGCTAGAAGAGGAGAAAACCTTCTCGAATAAGGCTTAACTCTAAGAGACAGAAGCAGCTAAGCAGATACATTCACAACAATAGAAGAGAAAGCCGGTGAATATAAAACTAAGAAAGCTATCTTGGTTTACCTACTCCTCCACAAGACCCTCCTCCTAAGGAGGGAAATCCAATTTCACTGAAACATGGAAATCCAATTCACTGAAACATGGAAAACAAACAAAAATGTGTGAAGTTATCATAATAAAAAACTTAAACACAAAGCCAATCCACCCATAAGTGAAAGAAAATCAGACTGGTATTTTAACATCAACAGCAGTTAATGCTAGAAAACAATGCAGTAATGTTTTTAAGATACTCAAAGGAAAATAAAAGTGAGATGAGGATTTTAAATCCAGCCAAAGTGTCCTCCAAGTGTAAGGTCAGAGGCAAAGAGTTAGAAACCTATAAAACTTCAGAGAATCTCTTTCCCAGAGCATGCCTGAGTGATCGAGTAGAGAATGAGTTTCAGACAATCAAGAAAATACTGAAGAAGATTTAACATTAAAGACTGGGGATGAGAAATAAATGTATTTAATTACAGAACAACAGCTAAAAGATTCGGATATCAAGAGAATGAAAACACAAGCCACAGACTGGGAGGAAATACCTGCAAAAAAAATGCCTGATAAGGATGGTTATCCAAAAACATACAAAGAAGTCTTAAAACTCAAGAGTAAGAAAATGAACAATCTGATTGCAAAATGGGCACAAGACCTGAAGAGAGACCTTACCAAAAAAGATACACAGAGGGGAAATAAGCATATGAAGAGAGATGCCTCATGTCATCTGAAACCAGGGAAATGCAAATTGAAACAAGTACCACCATGTAATGGCCAAAAAACAGAACACAGACAACCCTAAATGTTGCCAAGGATGTGGAGCAATAGGGACTCCCATCAATTGCCGGCGGGAATGCAAAATGGTACAGCCACTTTGGAAGACAGTGCAGTTTTTTACAAAATTAAATGTATTCTTTATTTTTACTATATATTAAGACTATTTATTGCCACAGTGCTTAATATAGAAAAGGTTAGAATTAACCTAAATATCCATTAACAAGGGACTGGTTTAGTAAATTACCGTAACTCCATACAATGAAAAGGGCTCGATTTCAGGACTGGGGTTACGGTTCACGTGAATGCTGAGAGAGTAGTCAAGAAAGCTTAAGTAAAAAATTCAAGATGTGAATAGCACTTACGTATCTTTACATATTTTAATAGGTAATAATTAGTTTCATGCATACAGAAAGCCTTTATGGGCATACAAAAGAAACTCCCAACCATGGTTGTCTCTGGAAGGCAACTGGCTGGCTGACAGGCTGAAAGCAGTCCAACAAAAACTAAACATCTGTATTCTTGCCATACGATCCAGCTTCGCACTCCTTGATACCAAACCAAAGGAGCTGAAACTTATGTCTACAAAAAAATCTGCACCTGAATGTTTATATATTCATAATTGGCAAAACTGGGAAGCAAACAAAATGTAGATGAATGGCTAAAACATTCAGTAGGTGAATGAACGAACTGTGGTACATCCAGATAAAGGAATATTGCTCAGCACTAAAAGGAAATGAGCTAGCAAGCCATGAAAAAGCATGGGAAAAAATAAATCATAGGCCTATATAAAAAATCCAATCTGAAAATGTTACGTACTGGATGGTGCCTACTAATATGACAAACTGGAAAAGGTAAAACAATGGTTGACAGGGTTTAGAGGCTAGAGAGAATAAATAATTAGAGCACAGAGCATTTTTAGGGCAGTGAAACTATTCTGGATGATACTATAATGGTACGTACATGTCATCATACACTGGCTAAAACTCAGAGATATACATGCGACCCCAAGGGTGAACCCCAATGTAAACTCAGGGCTTTGGGGGATGATGACTGTGTGGATGCAGGTTCATCAACTGTAAACAAACATGCCACTGTGGTGCGGAGTGTCGACCGTGGAGGAGGCGGTGCATGTGTTGAGACAGGGCTTTTCTGGGGACTGTGTACTTCTCCCTCAATTTGTCTGAGAACCTAAAATGGCTCTAAAAAATAAATTTTATTTTTTTAAGTGAGGATAAAGATGACAGAATAGTTATATAAAATGTTACAGGCTTAGAGAATGTAAAAGTAACACACACAAAAATAGGAGAAAGATGAAACTAAATTCACGAATATCTTAAATAATAACTGTAAGTAAAGGGAAGCAAATCACTTTGAGGCTCACAAATCAATTAGTACAAACCTAAACATATTCAACACCATAGGGATTAACATTAAGATATTTAAACTACAATCTGATTATACAAGAAAAAGAAAAAAACTGTAACTAGGTAATTTTAGCATTGCTCATTGTAGGGAACAAAGACAGTAGCTAAAGAAGGGCTAAGAGATGCTTCTATCTTCAACTAAAGGTAACAGAATGGAAATTAAACCTTCCAAAATACCAAAAAGGAAAGGAGGAGGTCACAAAAAAACAGAGCACATGGTGAAAAGACAACAAGTATTTGAAAGTCATGTAACAGAAACAAGCCCAAATGTAACACATTTATCAATAAATGCAAGTGGGCATAACTCACCTATTAAAACAAAATTATTTTCAGATTGGCTAAAAAAGCGAAATCCATCTTTATGCTCTACACAAGAGACATACCTAAAACAACGTGATTCAGAAAGATTAAAAATAAAAGGAATATGCAGAAAAGTATACTAAAAATATATAGTACAAATAAAAATAAAATAGGGCTCTCTGTCAATCTTGATAGTAGGCAGACCAGGCAGAATACGGAGCATAATTATTAAAGACAAGAAAACTTCATAATGCAAAATAAAAAATTTAAGATATTCCCAAATATAAAAAACAACCTAAACAAAT